GGAGTCGGGATCGCTGACGGATATCCGGGCGATAAATTCGCCGGGTTGCGCGCTCTCGCTGATCTTGGGAGTCGCGTCGTCCGACAGGAAGATGACCGTGATGGACGGCTGATTGTCATTGACGTCAGTCACGCGGACGGAGAGGAAAGCGCTGGCTTCCAGCGGTTGGGCACCGCAATCCCGGGCGACGATCACCAGCTCGTGACGCTCCTTGGACTCGAAGTCGAGGGCCTTGTTCACGTAAACCATCCCGGTCTCCGAATCGATGCGGAACATCTCCTCGCGGTCGGACTGCCGGCGATTGATGGAGTACTCGATGCGGCCGTTGTCCCCGGCGTCCGCGTCGGTCGCGTTCACCGCGAGCACCGGCGTACCGACGGTCGCGTTCTCCGGTACGCTCGCGACGTAGCGCGTCTGGTTGAAGACGGGCGGATTATCGTTGACGTCCTGCACGGTCACGTTGACCGTCAGGTGGGAGCGAAGCGGTGGCGTGCCGCCGTCGAGAGCCTCGATCACCAGGTGATAGTGGGAGCGTACCTCTCGGTCCAGCGAGCCGGCGATCTGCAGATCCAGATACAGGACGCCGTCGCGGCCGCGCTGCTGCCACAGCCGGAACGCGTCGCCGTAGTTGCCCGACACGATCTCGTAACGTTGCGTCGTATACTGGCCGAGGTCGAGGTCCTCGGCCGGTGGTAGCGGCCGCTTGGCGTCGCGGGGCGAGTTCTCCGGGAACTCAATGTCCACGTGGTCCATGGGGAAGGTGGGCACGTTATCGTTCTCATCGAGCACGGTGATAACCACCCGCACGCTCGGCAACGCGACCAGGGTATACATCGCTCGATTTTCACGGTCCAACGGCACCCGTGTCCTTATCTCGCCCGTCGTCGGCTCGACGATCAGGTCGGTCTCCACCGGCGAGCCCGGTACCAGCGCTATCAGATACGGTGGATTGTCGGTGTCGATGAAACCCACCCTGGTGCCCGGTCGCGCGTTTTCGGACACCTCCAGATGCTTGACGCGCTCGGGCGTCGCGCCTGGGGCAGAGGTCGCTCCCAGGACGAGAAACAGTAGCAGACGCCACATCCTGGGACCTCCAGTACCACGCCGCGGTCGTCCTCCTCCACCACGACCTCCTCCTCCTCCTCCTCCTCCTCCTCCTCGACTTGCGATATTATCTCGACCTTTCCATTTTCTACGTGATCGCCGCGTCGGTCGCGACGCAAAGCGAAACAGATTCCTCGTGCCCGGCGTCGCGAGTCCTTCGTGTCCCTCCACGGCGGGATACGCGCACTACCCTGTCGCGCTCCTCTCTTTCACCGGCACTATCGTTATCACGCAATTCAACTTAATTCTTGTAACACCAACACGAAGCAACCACAAGCAAATATCACTGTTTTTTCCTTGAGCAAAGAAAAATTTGTTTTTCGCGCGATCACTTTCACTGACTTCACCCGCGGAGTGTACCGATTCTCTCTTTCTCGCGTTTCAGCAGCGGCGTGATCGATTGTCTCACCGCGTCGTCGTCATCGTCGTCACCGTCATCGTCGTCGTCGTCATCGTCGTCGTCGTCGACCTGCACTCGCGTGAATCGTGGCCCGACGCACTCCGTGAAGACATAGCAACGTCGCGGAGATTCCGCTCCGTTCGTCCGAAATTGAAATCGATCGAATTACCGCGGCGGCTCTCCTTCCACCATCCCACCTTTCTAGAGAGCGTCTCGCTTTCCCCGTTTCCTTCGGCCGGGCTCCTTCAGCGGGTTACCTCGGACGGCGAGATGTGGCACATTCCTCGCGTTAGATGCACGTTCCGATAACCGGCATAACCGATCAGCACGATCGGTCGTGAACCCGGCGCGATCGTTCCGCGTCATGCATGGCCGTCGTGTTGCCGTTGTATTGCCGTCCCGTCGGACACCTCGCGCTTCTTCGACGCGATCCTACGTGTGGCGAAATTGTCCGTCTCGATTCGCCGATCGTGTGATTCGTCCCAGGACGTTGTCACGGGCCGGACGTTGTCATTCTCGCTGACCGGCCGCTGAAATCGCGTCGATCGATTCGCGAGCCGGAGTCAATGGACCGGGGTGACAAAACCAGGGGACGAGCTTCCAGATGCAAGGAAAGCGGAAAAAGCGAGATCCCGATGAAGGGAAAACACACTCCGAACTGTCAATCGGTACTCGCGCGCGGAATAAAATATCGTGGAGCAAAATATCGTATTAACCTTGTACGGTCGAGTTTACGCCAAGTTTACGATCACGGTATCGCGGTACAGACGCGACGACTCGCTCGTACGCGCCTTTCTTTCTCGCGGAAGGAGGAGAGACGCACGGTGATCGAACCGCGTCGCCCGTTCGATATCACGAACTCTCTCGTCCCTCCTCTCGCGTGTCCGACGTCTACGCGCGGCCCGAAAGCGGCCACTCTCTCGATCCCGCAGGGATTCACACACTCTCCTCTCGCGCGACTATTTTCCCCCGAAGAATCGAGCCGGAGGAATCGTGGCCCCGATAGCCGCGTTTCTCTCTCTCTCTC